AAAGGCTGTGTGAGGATGGAGGAATATGCGGGGGGCTCCTAGGTGGAACCTCAGACTCTCTGTTTCTGCCCTTTACACATCACACTCAATCACTTCAGTCCAGTCCATGAATAGATCTTATTAACCCCTCTCCTATATGACTGCAGCCAGATATCACCAAAGTGTGCAGTGTCACCGTTTGTCTCCTTGTGTTGGGTTTTTTCTCAGGGTCTGGGCAGCTGGGTTGGTTCAAAGCATGTCACAGGCTTTGTGGCATTTGATCCAGCACCTTCCTGTAACTGCCAGGGATGCTTCTGTCTAATCCCAGCTCATACCAGGAAGATGAAAAAAGAGGTATTTTCCTCATGTCCATCAGTGGTGGCTCAGTGGCATTGCAGTGGCCTTGAGCTAGTGAGCCATTGAATCATAGAATCACAGAATGGTTTGGGCTGGAAAGGACCTTAAGATCAGCCAGTTCCAAACCCCCTGCCATGGGCAGGGACACCTCACACTAGACCATGTCACCCAAGGCTCTGTCCAACCTGGCCTTGAACACTGCCAGGGATGGAGCATTCACCACTTCTCTGGGCACCCTGTGTCAGCACCTCAGCACCCTCACAGTAAAGAACTTCTTCCTTAGATCTAACCTGAACTTCCCCTGTTTCAGTTTGAACCCATCACCCCTTGTCCTATCACTCCAGTCCCTGATGAAGAGTCCTTCTCCAGCATCCGTGTAGCCCCCTTCAGACACTGGAAGCTGCTCTGAGGTCTCCACACAGCTTCTCTTCTCCAGGCTGAACAGCCCCAACTTTCTCAGCCTGTCTCCATACAGGAGGTGCTCCAGCCCCTGCTCATCCTCGTGGCCTCCTCTGGACTTGCTCCAACAGCTCCATGTCCGTCTTATGTTGAGGACACCAGAACTGGACACAATACTCCAAGTGGGGTCTCACAAGAGCAGAGTAGAATGCCAGGATCACCTCATTTGACCTGCTGGTCACACTTCTTTTGGTGCAGCCCACAATACCATTGGCAAGTCCTCAACAGGGAGACTTTCTTCCCACAGAGACACAGGAAAATCAACCTGTGGAGGGGACAAGAAGGGGGCAGCAACATCAGGTTCAGGTTACTAGAGATGCTCAGGCACTAGCACTGTGGGGAAGGCTGGAGCCCTCTTTAGTGTGTCCAGCACTTCATAAATTTCAGAGAGATTCAGGGCAAGGAGCCAGATGTTTGGGGAGAAATTCTGAGCACTAAAGACAAGTGGAAATATTTCTTTCTCTTTTTTTTTGGTAGTGTGTATTTTTTCCCATTAGTTGCAAGGCTATATTTAGAAGAGAGGGGGGGAGAGAGAGAGCACGAGAGAGAGATTAGGCATTTCTTCGTATTCTTGTAGTCACTCCAGTTGTTCTGCTTGTAGGAACAGATGTCTCTGTCCTGGGGTGATAGCATTCAGGTCCACGAGGAAATTTTCTTCCCTGCAGCTCCTCTAACATAGAAGGGAGATCGAGCCAGAGGTAAGTCAGTCCATCGTGGAAGAATACACTGCAGGGACCATTGCAGTGAATGCTGTGGGAGAGTGGTCAGAGAGAAAGGGGGGGATTGGAGATGTGGCAGCAGGAGACCAGGAGGCAATTGCTGGAGACTGGACCATAAATCCAGAGTGGAAAGCATGGCTATTGCAGCAGGGAGCAATGGAAAGGATGGCAGTGGAGAGAGTCCTGCACCGAACATGTGGATGTGAAGCTTAGGAAGCTCCTGGCTCTGCCCATGTGGCTGGTACACCGTCAGTTGGCATCTAACCTGCAGAGCCAGGCTGTGCCGGTGGCTGTGAGGAGCTGCAAGCAGGTTCTCCTGCTGTGAGCTTCTCTGCTTCTGGGTTTTGGGGCAGTGCTGTGATATTTGGAGATGGGGGTTTGATGAAAAGTGTGTTATAGTACTGGCTTTCCTTCACTGAAGTACTATTGTCAGCTCTTGTAAGGAGTGGGATGATGTCTTGTTTGTATCTGTGTATTCCCAGACATAATTCAAGTTTGGGGAAATGTGTTCACGGAGGTTTTGGGACCCAGCAGAGGAGATGGTGCACTGGGACCATCTGTGACTGGGGATGTTTTACCTCTCTTTGGCTGTGCAGCAGTGTATGAGCTCAGCTCTAGGAAAGATGCTGTTTCCTTTCTCTGAACACACTTACTGGCTCAGTCTAAGGAGAAGCAGATCCTTTCCAAGCTCCTTACCCAGGTCGGTTCAGAAATGCTCCCTGCATCCATAGCAATACACTTACCAACAGCTCCAAGTGTTTCCAGATTAACCTGGAAACCTGCAGCACTATGGGCTCTGCCTGCAGAGCACAGTCTCATACATGGCTAGCAAAGGAAACCACAGAGCCCAGCCTCCCAAAGGGTTAAGATGTGCTTGTCCATCCTGGGATGCCTCAAGAAATGCCTGTTCCCTGTCCAGGTCTCCCATCCCGCTGCATTCCCTGGGCCAAGCCCACACAGGGCTCCATGCCTCGGTTTCTCCCTGCAGCCAAGAGAGCAGCACAACCTGAAGTTGTGCAGAGCTGCATCCATGGAGGGCTGGTTTGCTGCTCATGATGCATGTGACCCTTCTCCCTGCTGCATCATCCCTTTGTCCCTACATGCATCTATGTCACCTCTGTTCCCTGTGCTCCCTGGGATATGAGCATTGCTCCTTTATGTCCTGCTGTGCAGGACCCCAGGTAGTCCCCAACAGCAAACCTTTGTTGCTGCTCTTCCCCAACTGTCCTTTTCAGCCTTCTTGCCAAGGGACAGAGCAAAAGCAGGCAGCTGAAGGCAGAAAGAGGGAAAAGTGCTCAAAGATGGCTAAATTTGCAGTTAAAATCTCCTTTTCAAAAGCCAGCAGCAATGCACGGGCCAGATATTGCTCAGTTTAATCTCCTTGATGTTTTTACACTGTGAAGTTCCTGTATGTGCCTATATGGTAATTTTCACTGCAGCCACAATAGCTGTTCTTCCAAACCAACATTTCTAGCACATTGTCCCTAGCACCCTTGAAATGCTAAATGGATTACTGTAATCCCAATAAAATCAAATGCATTTCTCTTGTACTGTTACAGCCTCCCAAGCAGACAGGCACAAATCCATCTCTACTAGCTGGACCTATAAAACTCCAAACCCATGTTTCTTTCCAGATCTACCTTTAAAAACATATTAAATCCTCCTGGAAGAAAATTTCCTCCCCCCGCAAAAGATATTCCTTCTCCTCATAGTACACTGGTCCACAAAAGACAGTCAGGGATACACGCAGGAAGCGATGCTCTGATTTCTCTTGGAGTATCATGGATAGAAATACACAGCATCTACCACAGAGATGTCATTCCATGCTCTCTTGTGACAGATGGCACTTGGTCCGAGCCCTGACAGGCTATGAGATACTAGTCTTTTACATGCTAACAGCTTGATTTATAGAGCTTCCCCCAAGACAATATTTCTGTCACTCCAAGGCTAAGATGTGGTGATGCAGAAAAGAGGGACATGAAAAATGCAAAGGTATCAGTTGTAAATGTCTAAATGTTTCAGGAGGGACTTTTCTACAGTGTGGTGTAAACTAGCAAAAGGAGGTGTAAAACATTTATTAGTACTTTAAGGTGACCAGTACCAGCAAACCTCATCAGAGATGTGCTGAAGGACCTCTCTGGACCCCAGCCACCATTGCTGGGATCACGTTTGCAGGTCTGGAGGGGCAATGCATGTACATTCCCACTTCTTTGTTTGCTTGTACATGTACATCTGAGCTCCCTTTTCTCAAAGGATGACACATTATTGCTGCAAATGAGTATAGGGGAGGTATAAGCTCATAAGAAATCTGCCAGCACATGAATTTCCTGTGCTGTGTGTCTTTGGGAGCTTCATTCCTTATTTTCCATGCATGCTTAGGACAGAGCTGGGGAGGACCATGCAGATCTTTCCAAGTTTTAAATAGGTTGTCTCTGGGGTGTCCAGGACTGATCTGACTCCTGGTTTTAAGCAGCAGGTTCAAGCCTAGATGCAGAGAATGGGCATCTGGGCCAAGCTGAGTGACTTCCTTCCCATCTGGGTCACTTTGCTCTGTGAAGAACAGGAATGCAGTTTGGAGACTTAGTGCTCTCCCTCTTCTAACTGGCAGTGATCCCTCACGGCTTTGCATGACCTGTTGGACTAAATCATTGCTGGGCACCCACAGGCTATTGCTTGTCCAAACTGAATCAGGCACTCACTGATCCTTACTCTCAGAGGACCTGATTTTGGTCCTATGCAAGGGAGCATAAGGTCCATCCATGTGCACACACACAACTGAACACAGCATAATGGGTGGAACTCAGACCACAACTCACTGCAATACCCATATCCTGGCCCTCAGAGATGAAGGACCACATGTAGGCTAACTGGGCATATCAGGCAGGAGGCAGACAGCTCAATAGAACATCAGCAACACCAGCCCAACAACCAACATCACTGCATTAGCTTCTACACATCCTTAGTCTGAGATTGGTTACGTGACTTGAAGGACAACCCTTGCTATGCCTAGGACTGAACACCCACGTTTTATCTCTGGCCAGATGGTGATTCTGGTTCCTATGGGCAACATTAGAGATCAATAAGGGGGTTAATCCCTTTTCCTGTTTGCGAAGTTCACACCTTTCTCCTTCCAGACAAAGGTTGTAATTCAGCACATGAACATGCAAACATGAACAAAGTAGGAGTTGCTGGCCATCACACTCTTCATTAGACATGGGCAGGCACGCCATGGCTGACCAGTGCAGACACCAGGTAATGAGCTATCATCTGCCCCAGTCAGGCTGGTTCTGCCATGGGGAAAAGATGCAACGTGGTATAAATCTGAGATTCTTTCATGTCAGGATAGCATGAGAGGCAATGGTCTCTCTTTGCAAATCCAGCCTTGTTTACAGTGTTTAAATGCCAAAGCAACTTTGACTTTGCAGTGAAAAAGACCTAAATGAAAGGCTGTGTGGTGGGGAGTGCTAGCATCTCCTTGTAGCTTCATATTAGAGGAAACTAGGATCACTCGCAGTTCCTATTTGTGTGTTTGTCAGTTCTGATTTCCTCCATCCTCCTAATGTTTTTCAACTTGTTGGCTAATTTCAGCCAAGCTTTGGCAGAAGGGAAAGATCACCTCCATTTGCAGGAAATTAGGCAGCAAAGTGAGAAGAAAGTCAAACAAGTATTGGAGCCAAGGGAAGAGCTAGAACGTGAGTGCTCCTCCATGCAGCCAAGTGTCCCCATGGGAAGCAGTTATAATAAGCAGCTCAACCAGGGCAAAGCATTCATCCACCCCCACGAGCCACTGCATGAGACCTTAAGAAAGCAGGTGTCATTGCATCCGACACTCACAGAACTCTGTGGTTTGTGTCCCTAAAGCATCTTCTATTTCCATGGCATTGGAGGGGAGGGAATAATCCAACTCTGAACTGGGTTTAACTATTTCCAACTGACATTCCCAAGCAGTTGGGTGTTTCATACACCCTGTCTGGCCACCTGCAGACCTGGAGAGCTCTAGAAGACATCAATGCCCAGGAACCAAGTGAGAGCAGAGAGGCAATGTTCAAAAATACGGGATCTTCCCTGGGAATAGCCCCATTTCTGCTTCGGGATGGAGTCTTTCTCCCCAGCACCTTAGCTTCCTTCTTACAGCCTGAGGGCTAGATAGGCACCAGCTTTTCCCTTTCAGCAGCTGGATTCATTCCCTTTCTCTCCTTTTCTCACTGTCAGCAAATCCACCCTCCCCTGGCTGAGCATGAGGGACACAGAACAGGCTTTACCACGTATAGGGCAAGGTCCTCAACATGCACAAAAACACCATATTTGGCCAGTTTGAGCCAGAGTTGAGTGAGAGCTTGCCAGAAGAATCATACAATTTAAGCTGAAAGAGAGGGACTTTAACCCTTCATATATAAATACGATGATAAATCACTCAGGGAACTTTAAACACAGAAAAGCTGCAAAACTAAACACATTCTGCTGCCATCCCAGGCTGCAGAGTAACACTAACAGAGTGAGGGGGACGGGGGGATGATAGGGGAGCAAGGTTGCTATATGGGATGTTCTGATTCAGGGAAATGAGAAAAGCTGAAGCTGTTTATATTAAATAACACTTGCTCGTGCTTGTTAATGTCCTTTTCATCTTTCCAGCCCCAGTGCATGGCTCTCTTGTTCTCTGTCTCTGGGTCTGCACGCAGAGATCCTATCTGCACGCACCAATAAATAACCCTTTTGGCGAGCGGTTAGGACAAAGCTCATTTTGCCTTTTCTTTTGTATCCCATTATTTAAGTTGCTGAGCCAGAGCCAAAAGTCCCCTGGGTCAAAGAAGTGAACCCTGGTAACTTCAGCAAGGGTGAGGCTTAAGGCTGACACCAACCAAAATGCTGGGTGGAATGAAACACAGGATGGTCAAGGATGTCCTCCTGGGGCAGACGTAGCACTGAGATGTCCATGACAGATGAACAAGTGTGATGCCAAGCAGCGAGAGAGCAAAGGA